TTTAGCTGGTTCCCATTTCGGAGCTAACGATTCTTAGAGCAGATGGAAGGGGTCGGCGTGGTCGAGTCTTGTAGTTTGTTCTTGGTTGGACAAAGGCTATGGAAGCAAATCCAAAAAGAAAAGCAGGCTGAAATCGGAGTCAATGGCCTCAATGGCGCATAACCAGTTGACACGTATACTTAATTGTCCAACCAAGAACAAACTACAAGGCAGAAGTTGTTTAATTTTGGAGTTGTCTCTTCTAGAAGAGTGGCTGTCCCCAGCTAACGAGCCACATCTGCCCGAGGGTTCAAACTCGACCACGCCGACCCCTGCACCAGACCCTAAAATATAACACATTTCCGAAAAAATATTAGCCAATTCTTTCACACAATTACCCCCGCCCCCAACCCCCACCCCCTCTCCTTCAATCAACCTAACTTGCAGGAATTTGGCACAAACAATGTTAACGAAAATCACAGGCAGGAATTATAGCCCTACCTTCACATACCACCAGAGGCGTGGCGAAGGGGGGGGGGGGGGGGTTGAGGAGAGGGGGGGACCGGTGGGTACGTATGTAACCGGGCGCCAAAATAGGTAGGAACAAAAAAATTAAAAGTTCGATTTTAGCTGCAGTTTTGAATTATAAATATAAAAAATATATGGGGGGGGGGGGGGGCGTCAAATTGAGGGGAGGGGTCGCCACGCCTCTGCATACCACACACTAAAACCAAACGATAAACGTTCCCATCCTTTCGTATTAAAAACTAATATGTGCATCAATAATGTAGTGAGCGGGGATTAGACTGTTCAGCCTCGTATACAATTTTAAAACTGGTTTTATTTTTAAACGGGACGGAGTAGCCTAGAGGTAGAGCGCTAGACTGCTAACCCGAACAGTGTTTCTTCCAGACTTTTTTCTACGGCGGGGGGGCACTTGATATTTGGGGGGTGGGGGAGGACGAAATTTTCGAGATGGGGGGGGGGGGGGTTCGACGACACTGATAAAAGTATATATTTTTTTATATATAAATTTCCATTTCGTTCGTCGTTCAGGGGAGGGGGGGGCGGTAGACTTTCTTCGGGGGGGCGGGGGGGGGGGGAGAAACCACTGAACCTGAAAATACCGAGCTAGACTCTGTGTCCTACACAGTAGCGCTAAGACCAACTAGCTCTGTTGCATACCCAACACCCGTTAGTGAAAGTAATACTTCATTTTGCGCATTGACCGTCAAGTTCGAATAGGTAACTTGACTTTGTTTATATTCATATTCTTCAAACCATTTCCTTGTGTTGGTTCTTATAGTTCCATTATCTCCAAATGGTGTTTGAATCAAAATTTATTTACCCCAATATTACGTTTATTTTTAAAGTTTAATTAAACTTTTGATATATTTGATCCCTTGCCAGTTTTTGCTACACAACATTGTACACATGGTTGATTTTTTATCGTCGTACTTAACACAATACCACAGGTTGTTCAGTGTGGTATTGATTTATCGATCTCAAATTGTATTGAAAACCAATCAAGCAATCATTTGGCGAACAGCTAGACCAGACGCACTTGACCTTATCGGCCCTGACCTTTTGAACCTGGCTATTTTTAAAATACCCAGGGGTCAGTTTGTGGTCAGGTGATATCGTGACTTAATTGGCGGTAATTGATTGGAAATGGGGGTAATAGGCCCGTGTCTCATTGGATATAGTCTAGTAAGCTAATTATAGGAACGTGGTGTCACATGTTTATGTGTACTTTAAATACTGTACTTTCTATGTCTTTCTCTTAAAAAGGTTAGCTATAAATACGTGTACATGCATAGATATATACACACCACACTTATTTAAATGTCCTCGTTCTTATCTAATGATTCGTAGGGCAGATGAAGTAGAGTTCGTGTGTTTCTTGACCTCGGCATATGAAGGGATGGTGTGGTCAGCACCCATCAGAGCTGGGTGGACTCCCGGCGTCAAGATTACGGACCAAGATCCGAACTCGAGACCTTCGTGCTAGCACTACTGTATATTGATATACATGCACACATAACACGTATAATTACATAAGAAGTATATTACTCAAAACACACAAACAGACATCGACGTGCTCATGTATACTCAAAGACCTGCACTTTTATACAGATACATGCATACTTACACCTACTTACATATACACACACATTGTATCTATATAAATACAACTTAATCAATAAATGAAATACATGCATTAAAAGTAAATTATCATTTTAAATCTCGTTGTTCATACGACAAATGAAGCTGAATTAATCTGGTTCTTTCAGAGGTTTGATTTCCCAAACTCTAATGGAGTACATGTACATATCTTTCTTGATACACATATGCATGCCCACCACCCAGAGGCGTAGCGACCCTTCCCGGCGCCTGGGGACAAACTTTTCGATTTGTACCCCCCTCGAGATTTCGATTTGCACCCCCCCCCCTCAAACTTTCGATTTGCACCCCCCCCCCCCTCGAGATTTTGATTTGCACCCCCCCTCAAACTTTCAATTTGCACCCCCCTCAACTTTTCAATTTATTTTTCCAACCCATTTTGGCGCCCCCTAAGCTCGGCGCCCGGGGACATATGTCCCCCCCCCCGCCCCCCCCCCCCTCGCTACGCTACTGCCACCACCCCTACTACACACAACACATTTCTTTTTCTTCTTACAGTTAACCGTTCAGCTCTACAGTGTGTCTTTCAGTAAACACAACTACACATATCAGTGCACTCAAAGAAATGCCATTTGCACTACAGTATTCAACCAAACATCCGCACTCAACGACTTGACCCTATTTTTAACCCGAACTGTTTGGCATAATAAAAACTCAGCTGATGTTATGACATGAAATACCAATCGAGTTACCCCGCTTTGTATGTGGGGGAATTCCCCGTGAACTTTCCTAGAGAACCGAAACTAGCCTCGTTTTCATACCTGACTGCGCGCCAATGTTTAATAACGGCCTGTGGTCACGTGATTGTGATGATCTAATGACGGGGTGTAGGGTTTTAGGATAGGGGGTTGTTAATTTTGTTTCTAGATTGTGTACTGTTTGTGTTTCATGGTTGGTTCATTTTCGAAATTACGTAGAATATTGACTTCGAAATGCGTGTGGGGAGGGGGGGGGTTACTTGGCTGTGTGCGTTAACAAATGCACCCAGTAGCGTATCCAGGATCGTCTCATGGGGAGGGGGGGGGTTCAAATTTTTACCCTGGGACAAACTTTCGATTTGCACCCCCCCCCCCCCCTCAAACTTTCGATTTGCACCCCCCCCCCTCAAACTTTCGATTTGCACCCCCCTGCCTACGCCACTGAATGCACCGAAAGAAAAGTACCTTTATATACCATCAGGTTCATTGGGTAGGTGAAGTAGAGTCCATCTGTTTCTCAGACAATGGCATATGAAGGGATAGTTTCCTCAGCGCTACGTTACGCTGATTACAACTATGCCGTTCATTGGAAACATGTTAATTTGTATTTGAATACTAGTTGGTTGTTTGTTTAACTTCTACCATCCCTATGTTAATACTATTCTCCTCTATCAATACTACCATTCAACTATTTACAGACTACCATCCCACTATCAACACTACCATCCCACTATCAACACTACCATCCTACTTTCAACACCATCGCATTATTGATACTACCATTCTGCTATCAACACTAACATTCTACTATCAACACTACCACCCCGCTACTAACTTTACCATCCTACTATCAAATCTACCATCCTACTATCAACACTACCACCCCTCTTACTAACTCTACCATACCACTTATGCCACTAATCTACCTTTCATTGCAAAACAACCACTCGAATATATCCCACTACCTTAACACTATTGTATTTCCTCTACATGTCTGTAGTTCAGGTCCAAAGTCCTATTCATAACTGATTCTTTACTTACACCCCCCCCCCCATACATCCACTGTGCTAGATACACACGCCCTATGCCTCAATGCATTTCCTGTTTCTGTTCTCAGCCAGTTCTCTATAACCAGCATGCTATAGCTCCAACAGTCAAACCTAAACCCTACTTTAGCCAGCACGCTAACTCTACGTAACAAACCTAAACCCTACTCTAACAGCACGCTATAGCTCCAACAGTCAAACCTAAACCCTACTCTAACAGCACGCTATAGCTCCAACAGTCAAACCTAAACCCTACTCTAACAGCACGCTATAGCTCCAACAGTCAAACCTAAACCCTACTCTAACAGCACGCTATAGCTCCAACAGTCAAACCTAAACCCTACTCTAACAGCACGCTATAGCTCCAACAGTCAAACCTAAACCCTACTATAACTAGCATGCTATAGCTCCAACAGTCAAACCTAAACCCTACTCTAACAGCACGCTATAGCTCCAACAGTCAAACCTAAACCCTACTCTAACAGCACGCTATAGCTCCAACAGTCAAACCTAAACCCTACTCTAACAGCACGCTATAGCTCCAACAGTCAAACCTAAACCCTACTATAACTAGCATGCTATAGCTCCAACAGTCAAACCTAAACCCTACTATAACTAGCATGCTATAGCTCCAACAGTCAAACCTAAACCCTACTCTAACAGCACGCTATAGCTCCAACAGTCAAACCTAAACCCTACTCTAACCAGCATGCTATAGCTGTGACAATCAAACTAAAATCCTACTTAAACCAGCCAGTGTTTCTTCCAGACATTTTTTTCCCTGGGGAGGGGGGGGGGGAAGCGGACACTGTTAAAAGTGTATATTTTCTACATAAATTTTCTTCGGGGGGGGGGGTAGATTTTCTTCCACGAATAGATGCCTGGTAGAAACTCTGAAACCAGCATGCTATAGTTCCAACAGTTAAACCTAAACCCTACTTTAACTAGCACGCTAACGCTCCACGAAACAGACCTATACCTTACTTTAACTAGCTCGCTAACACCCCACGAAAAAGACCTATACCCTACTTTAACTAGCACGCTAACGGTCCATGAAACAGACCTATACCCTACTTTAACTCAGCACTCTGGCTATCGCTGTCAGAATCGACGCATTGATCAGTGAACTTAGTCTGTTTGCCTTTGATAAGAAATTCATGTTTACTTTCTTCTAGTGAGAATATCTCGAATCATTCAGTACCCGGATTTATAGGAGGACGTACTTAATTAGCAATCAAGAGGAAATTTCTTAATTAGCAATCAAGAGGAAATTCGTTAATGAGCGATTAATACAATGAAAAAAAATTGCTAGATTATGGAGTCCATGTTAAATTGGAATTTATGTTGACGAGGTGTGTAAGTATGACAAGTTTAATGCTTTATAAATAGTATAATCAATAGATGAGTAGGCCTATTTAGATATAACGTATGTTGACTATGAATCATACTTGGAATATGTGTTTAGTAAAGATCACATTTTTCTTAAAGTAATAATTGATTAGTACAAGGTGAAGGTTAATATCACTGGTTTACATATACATTGGATGTAAACATTTTAGGGCTGTACATGTATTTGTGTACAAGCCTTGGCTGTACACATTACATGGGTTTACTTGATTATACTGGTATATGTTTTGTACAGAACTGGCTGTTGTACAAATTTCAGAGCATAGTGATTCAACAACTATTAGGGTTTAGGGTTCGTGCATTTCAGGGGTGCGGCGTGAGTACACCCACTAGGTCTTAGCGCGTGTACACACACAAGGGTTCAGTTTTTGTACATATATCAGAGCTTAGTGATTCTACAACTATTAGGGTTCAAGGTTCTTTCGTTTTAGGGTTCGTCGTGAGTACACACATCAGGGTTTAGCATTTGTACAGGTATCAGAGCTTAGTGACTCTACAACTATTAGGGTTCAGGGTTCGTGCATTTCAGTGGTTCGGCATTAGTACACAATCAGGGTTCAGCGCGTGTACACACATCGGGGTTCAGCGTTTGTACATATATCAGAGCTTAGTGATTCTACAACTATTAGGGTTCAGGGTTCTTTCATTTCAGTGTTCGGCCTTAGTACACAAATCAGGGTTCAGTGTTTGTACAGCCATATAGCTTTAACCACAATTCGTACACCAGGACAGTACACATCAATATGTGTACACATTCTTCACACCGTCCTTATTTCCCTCAAACAGCTGATGTTTTCTTTCCTAACAGCTGAGCATGAGTCAGATCAGCCATCTAAACTAGGTCAAGGCTAGGCCTCGAACTATTACCCCCGTCTGATTCCCGTCCACATGTTGAAAACTCTCTCGCCCACCTGGGAATTCTTTACTTAATGACGATTTTTTTTAAAAATCTGTCACGTGATGGCCATATTGTGAACAAACGGGGAGGGGAGGGAATGACAGTTTAGGGATTTCTAAGAAAACTGACTAGAAGTATCGAAACGTTATTTTTTAATATCGTATTTTAGTCTTGTATCGTATCGCATCTTTTTTAATTTACGCTAACCCAAATTTAATCATATCTAGCTGTAACCCTAGTCATTACCTTAACCCTCAACGCTGGAAGTAGCAGTAAACTCGAAAAAAAAAAATTCGATACTGCATTGCCACAATGGCTTCCTTAGAACTTGAAGACTTCTTTGATTCCTAGCCCCCGTACACTGTTATTAGAAAAGGGCGCTAATCATCGCGAGACATTTTTGTGAGATTTTTTTTTGACTGGTGCAATGAAAGTCATCCAATGTTATTTTTTAGTTTCGGGAATTTCCAAAGAGGGTGTTATAAAAATGTTTTTATTTTAACGTTGTCAATATAGTTGACTTATAAGTCATAGGTATACGGTTATTTGTTGTTTAGGGAAACGATTTAGGCCCTTTTACGTTACATGTGCACAGAGTTTCTTCCAGGCATCTCTCCCACCCCCCACCCCACCCCCCAAACGAAATGAAATTTATATAATTTATATAGGAAATATATACTTTTAACAGTGTCCGCCCCCCCCCCCCCCCCGAAAAAAGTCTACCGCCCCCCCCCCCCCCCCGAAAATTTCAAGTGCCCTTCCCCCCCCCCCCCCCCTCCGGAGAAAAAAGTCTGGAAGAAACACTGCATGTGCATACACACGTAGTTGTATTACACATAGATAGTTAGACTTACAGTTAGGGATACGGTTGGGGCTAGGATTGGAGCTAGGGTCAGGGGTAAAGTTAAGGATTAAAATTGGGGGCTAAGGTGTGGGCTAGTTTAATGATATGGTTAATATGGTGGTTAGGGTTTGGGGAAATGGTTAGAGCTAGGTTTGGGGCTAAGCTTAAGGTAAGGGCTAAGTTTTGGGTTTCGTTGTGATCTACGGTTGGTGCTAGGATTAGGTTTGTGGGCTTGGGTTGAGATTAGGGTCAGGTTTAGAGTTAGGGCCAGGCTTGGAGGCTTTGCTTTAGTCTACATTTGGTACTGGGATTAGTTTTGTGGGCTTAGGTTGAGGTAAGGGTCAGGTTTAGATTTGGGGCTAGGTTATAAAAGTTATCACCATTGCTATTAAAATACTTTAAAATATAAAATAATAAATCTTTGTTTGTTCTGACCAAGCCCTATTGTTTAAACGCTAAAAAATATTTTTCTCTGTAACACGACCTTCCCCTACCACCAACACACATACACAACCCTATATATACACATACACACACATTCAAACACACCTGTTGCCCGAAATAAATTGTCATCCTAGAGATCATTTCTACAGTCTCTCAACTTCCTTGATGACAAACAGATTGTAGTTTTAAGATGCGAGATCTCTTTCTCGGAAAACAAAATAAACGGGAATTCATAATAAAACAAAACAAAATCACGTGAGTTGACAATACTAAAAATAAACATACTTTTTTTTACCATTAAGTTGTATATTAACACTAAACAACCTTTTTTTACAATAGTTTTTTTTTTAATTATTTTACTTTTAATTATTGATTTATTTAATTACACACTATCTGATCAAGGCCTAAAAAGGTAATTTCCGTTTTTTTAAATGATGTGGGTGGTTTCTTTGTATTAAAATACGTAGTTATACCACATGTTTACATATGATACAAACGTCAGCTTGGCCTATCGTCTCCATACACATACGACGCTTCTAACGAGATAAACAGACAGCACAATATTGTCTAGTGTGATCCAAGAACTACATGTAAACACATTCTTACTTCTTGGTCGTCCGCCGAGAACTAGTACCACAGTTCACCAGAACCTTTTATTATGATGCAGACCTACTTCAGTTTATTGCACTCTCTTACTACCTCGTTTGTTTATTAGATGGATAATTTATTGAACTTACTAGTTCGGATGTTTGTAGGATGGATAATTTATTAAACATTTAGATAAAAAAAATTAGTTGGGTGTTTGGTGATTTTCTTTTGATGATCAGCGCTGGAGAGATACGGAGTGGGAAACAAATGAGACAAGTGGAATGCGAGTTGGTGCTTGTAAAATATGATTTAAAAACCACTTGATGCTTCGTATGCTTAGGAGTTTCCGTTCGTGGTACTTGTAAAAAATTATCAGAACATTGTAAATAGAAAAGTGTTGTAAAGATCTTATTTCTTGCTTTGCCAGTGCGATTTCTAGAGTTACATTTACCATTATCCAGTATCATGTTTCATTAACTATTGTCCAGTACTATTTTGTCTTTGTCCAGTGCAATTAACAATTGTCCAGGTTCATTCTCCATTCTTCAGTGTCATTTTCATTTGCATTGTCTATTGCCATTCCCCACTGTCGAGTACCATTCCCCACTGTACAATACCATTCCCCATTGTCCAGTACCATTCCCCATACCCACTGCTACTTTCCATCGTTCACTAACATAGTAGCTGTTTCAGTGTCACAACCTTCAGTGGAACAACGTCCTTCATGACATAGCGTCGAGCCTGTCTCGACTGCAAGCAGTGTGACGTCATGTACCCGTGTGTGTGTGTGGTGTGAGTGTGTAAGTGTGGTGTGAGTGTATGTGTTTATATGTGTGCCTAAGTGTGAGTATGTGTGCGTAAGTGTGAGTATGTGTGCGTAAATACGAGTGCTTGTGTGTATGTGTGCGTAAATGTGAGTGCGTGTGTGTGTGTGCGTAAGTGTGTTTTTGGATATGTATCCGTGCTAGAACTAAACTAATCGATTGTAAAGAAAAAAAAACTAACAGAAGTTTGAGCAGACGGAGACTGAGCAGTACGCACGCATTATTTTCCCAGTCAAAACCCCACCCTCACCCTCGCCCTACCCCCATCCCACTCCTCTAATTTTTCCCGTCCAGCTTTTAAAATGCTAGTTTAGCCCCCCCCCCCCCCTCCCCCCGTTCTAATTTGACCGTGTACCCCAACGGCCAAGCCCCAAGGAACCTCAAGAATCTAGAACTGTGAGCATGGCACCAGAATCAGCCTGCTCACCACAATGTTTACACACTCTTCACACCCCTCCTCCCATCCCGTTTCACAACAGCAGAGTCATGACATTTTTCACAAACACGATAAAATACTTGTTGGCATTGTAATTAAATTCAACGACCATGTAATCCCACAGTCAAAGAAACCCTGTTGTTTTTTTTGTTTCCTTTTTTTAGTTATAAACACAAATAGAGCTATAAATAAATCCGTTATATTACATGTTAGGGAAAGCGTGGTCGAATGGTAGAGCTTACGACTGCTAACCCGATAGTCTCGAGTTCGGATACCGGACTCGAGTTTTTAGAGCGTCCCTGAGTCCACCCAACTCTAATGGGTACCTCACTCACATTATGGAAACATGCGGCTGGGTATAGTGCTGACTACACAATCTCTCTCTCTCTCTCTCTCTGTATGTCAAGGTCATGCGTTGTGATCCCTCTATCGGCATTTACACTACAGCCCAAGGGGTTGCTAAGCATAAAGTTTGATACCCAATTCAGGTCTACGAAAAAATCAAAATGTATACGAACACCGTATACACACAATATAATAAAGCTCGGAGTAAGAAAATAGACTCTTAGATTGAAAAACAAAGCACTTCAAATTTTATTTTCATAAGCAAGAAAACCTAGATAAAAATATTATACGTGATTGATTTTGTTCTCTCTTATCACATTATAAATCGATACTAGGTATCGAATTAGTATAGAAATGTAATTGTAACGTATTGACGATTTGTATCATGAGAATTATTGATGCTAAGTATCGACGCGGTGCATTGTTCTAAAGTATCGATGCGGTATTTTTATATCGTACCTCGACACGATAAGTGCTTCTTTCAGACATTTTTCTCAGTAACGGTTGGGGTACTTGAAACTTGGGGGATAGGTGTCGCACGAGTTAAAGTATATATTTTCTATTTT